TAGTAGTAGTAGTAGTAGTAGTAGTAGTAGTAGTAGTAGTAGTAGTAGTCGTAGTCGTAGTAGTAGTAGTAGTAGTAGTAGTAGTAGTAGTAGTAGTAGTAGTAGTAATGGTCTTAGTAGTAGTAGTAGTAGTAGTAGTAGTAGTAGTAGTAGTAGTAGTAGTGGTGGTGGTGGTGGTGGTGGTGGTGGTGGTGGTGGTAGTAGTAGTAGTAATAGTAATCGTAGTGTTTGTGGTCGTACAAGTCGTTGACATTGTAATAGGGGTAGCGTAAGGAGTCGCACTGGCACTATCACTCTTACTCTTATGGTCCGTAGTGACAGGAGGAGGAGGCGGAGAGGGAAGATGATGCGTGGACCGCGTCCGCCTTCTAAGAAATTCCCTCACAAGATGCAACAAGAAGAAGCGTGCTCCCTCTGAGGCGCCTGAGAGGCCCGCAAGCACCAACGTGCTGGGGCTCAGCCGGGCCACCTCCATGAGCACGCTCCAGTCCGTGGAGGGCGGGTGCCCTGGGTACGCCACGGGGTGTTTGAGGAAGAAACTGGGCAGCAACAGGAGGACGAAGACGGGCAGGGCCATGTAAAGAAGCGTGTCGATGGGATTCAGCTTGAAGCCTCGCCCCAGAATCACCTAGGAGGGGGAGGAGGGGCCCTCCCCCCTGCTGCCTTCGCCGTGCTTTCCTCCGCCTCATGCATGTCTCTCCCCTTCCCACTCCTTCTCCTACCTTTCCTCTGCCTGCCCCCTCCAAGCTGTGTGCTTTGCCCTTTCTCTACCTTGCCTGTTGATGTTGCCACAGCCGTCTCACAGTCGTGAGCCGCTGCCTAATTTGGCTCAGTCCGTCGAGCCTACATTGTCGCACGAATGCTGAGTAGGTCGACAGGCACCGATACCATAACGCGGCCTTGCCTCTCCGTCATGCTATCCTCACTGAAAGAACCGATTGCTTGCAGTCGCACTCGTTTCCAGCTGGGGGCTGCTCCAGCAACTCTCGATTATCGTAGTTGAGCTTGGGGTCGAATATTAACGATGCCGGAAGCAAGGGCAGCTCAACCAGATGTTTGGGGAGATTCCGCAACCGAGGCAGATTCAGGACGCGCGGCTGCGGCATTAGCTGGCCGCGGAGAGGGCGGACAGGAACGAGAAGAGGTGGGCGAAGGAGTGTCCAAGGTTTGGATTAACATAGGCATCCATAAGAAGGGGTGACATTATTTGTGCCCTCCGAGCGAGTGCGTTCGAACCACCAAGAGACTGGAAACACATATGGCTGGATCTACAAGTGGAACATCCAGAACACATGCGCTGGATACGCATGCGGAAGCCCGGCGTGCCCAATCATAGAAGGGCCAAGCGCCAGATAGACACCTGGCCGCGTGTGTATCCAGCTGTCGCCGAAATTGGCAGCGTCATGTGCTTCCAACTTCCTGGTAGTGCTTCCGTCCTTCGTCGTCGTCGTCGTCGTCGTCGTCGTCGTCGTCGCCGTCGCCGCCGCCGCCGCGGCCGCCGCCGCCGTCGTCGTCGTCGTCGTCGTCGTCGTCGTCGTCGTCCTCGTCGACGTCGTCGCCATCGTCGTCGTCGTCGTCGTCGTCGTCGTCGTCGTCGTCGTCGTCGTCCTGGAACGTGATGCAGGTAGCGAGGAATATGATGCGCAGTGCGGCCCCGCCCGCGGCAGGGGATCACCACCACGATGAGCTCCATCGACGAGAAGACAAGGGACGCGACCTGGCTCGAAGAGGGGGGGCCTGCTCAGCCCGCCTTCTTTCACAGATGGCTTCTCGTAAGAACAGGGTGCGGTGCGTGGCGCAGAGTTGGCTTCTGGAGGGGGGAGGAGGACGGGGAGCAGGGGAGAACGACGCTGATGCCGGGGATAGGGAGAGGGAAGGGGGGAGGGGATGCCACGAAGGGGGGGGGAGGTGGTGGGATGGGGAGGGCAAGGTGAAGATGGGGAAGGGGGGAGGAGGAGAGGCGGGGGCGATGGGGGGCAGCGCTTCGACAGGAGCCGATGAATAGAGAAAACTGGGCCATGGCCCCCATGATGATGAGGGAGAGGGGAAAGAAGCGCTCGCTCGCTCGCGCCCGTTCGACTCAAACTCCCTGCCTCACGTCTTCGTGAACCAGGGGAGGGTACACCGTGCTATTTGCGTTGTGGCATCTCCCTCGCAACTCCGTTCGGAGCACCCTGGGGAGGGGGCGATGATGAGAAGCCGGAGGGGGGAAGATGAGGGAGAAGGTGGAGGAGGAGGAGGCCGTGGGGGAGGGGGGGGGAGGTGGGGGAGGGGGGCGGAAACAGAGGGCGAAGGCGGAGGAGGAGGTCGAAGGCGGTCGAGGAGGAGGAGGAGGAGGCGGAGCGTACCCAGGGGGACAAGTCCAATGTTCTTTTCACGGCGAATCCGCAACCCGACTGCGGGTGGTGAGAGTGGGCGGAAGCCCCTTGAATAAATGAGGGACAGGACGAGGAAGGAGCACCCCGGCGTGACCCCGACAAGGGTCACCCATGTGCAGAGGAAGTACCTGATTACGAGCATCTTCAGGTCGACCATGTCGGAGTCCGTATGCATCGGCAAGTGCATCTGCTCCTCGTAATGCTTTTGGTCCCACCTCAGTCGCGACAAGCCTCGTTAAGCGGGCCAGCATCGCTGCTATCAGGTCGCTGCCTGCTCGGAGGACCGTCCTCGAGCATGGCCTCGGGAACCCATGAGGGTGCGGAAGAGCAGTGCCCGAAAGACCGCGCAAGCTCCTGATCCTCCTCCTCGTTCTTGCTGGCACAGTTGCTGGATGACGACGAAAAAAACGACGAGGCCGATCCTGCAGGCAGCGGGTCAGTGCGCCTCCTGGCAGACCTCGCATAAACATGCGCCAGACTGCTGGCCCGCGCCGTTTCCTCCGCAACCTGCTGGACGAGGCTCGGAAGTAGTTCTTTGAACGACGACGTAACAACGCCAGCCACTGTCGCCGGCGATGGGGCAGACTCCTTCTGCTCGGCGGCCCAGCGACCCAGAGTCGCAGCATCAACCAAACCAGACACCTGCGACTGCAGGTCAGCATAGCGGCGTTCCAGGCGCATGATCGCCTGGGAAAGCTCCGCTCGCTGGACGGTGTGCAGCACGAAATCCTCCATTTCCTCACGAGCACGTAAAATAAGAGCAGTGACCTCAGCAATCTCTTCTTCCAGCTCTGGTAAGCATTCCTTGTGGACAAGCTGAACAACTGTTGCATGTATCTGGCAATGGGATGGCTTTGTAAAGTCTTGAAATTGAGACTCTAATTTGCCAACTCGATGTCATGGCACATCCCGAAATGCTTCTCATTCCGTTTCATCATGACTGCTGACTCCATTTGAAGCGCCGCATGCTGAGACGGTAGCGAAGACAGAACAGCGTTGCCATCCCGAACCACTGCCCACAGCCAGGCCAATTCCCAGACCACGCAATCGAACTCTCCGACGACACGCTGGGCACGTACGGCGGCAAAAGCCCCAAGCCGGAGGCGAATGACTCAGAAAGAACAAGCGCCTGCTCGCCGAGGATATCAGCAGCGAACGAATCTTCCCAAACTTCGCGGGCTTTGCAACTGGCAACGCGCGGGCTTTGCAGCCGGCTACCTTAGGCGTCTGCAGCAGCCTTAGGTTCGCCTGCGTCTTCTGCCAGCCCATCGGCCGTGCCAGGGACGAAGGCCGCGGCGTCTGCCCGCAGCGGGTTGGATGTATATTTTGGAACCCATTGCTAGTGCTAATGCCCGAAGCGGATACTGTGGTGTCGACCAGCAGCCTGAGAGTGAAGCCGAATGCTGTGACGATTTTCGTGCCCACCAAGTTGCGGCCTCGCTGCCAGTATGGCCTTGCGGGGGAATGCCGCTTGCGCGCCTGCGGGCTGCTGATGTTCACGATGCCACGCCCAGCTCTGGCCCCGGCACGAGAGAAAATTCAGCAGCTCCGTATCTCGACAAACCTGAGACAGAATGGAATCGTGAATGCGAACACGAGCGGCAAACAAATGTATGGCCGATTGTCTGCTTCTACGCGCAGACCTCGTGGCCCCGACTGCCATGGTGGCTTCGGGATAATCGCAAACGGTGAGATGGAGGGGGGCGGCACGAGTCGTCTACAAAGCCTCGCTGATCGAGGCTCTTGAGCTAAAGTGGCTACGGAGGGGGGGCACCAAGGGCCCGACGTGCCCAGGGGGTGCAGCTCCCAGCTGGGGAGAGCACGGAGGCCGCTGACCTCGATGCCGCTGGGGCCGCAAGCGACGGCAGGCACGGGCGGGCATGTGCCCGCCGTTTCAAGCAGTGGCGGCTGGGGGGCCGCAGCTTCAGGAGACATGGGTGGCAAAGGTTCGGGACGATGCGGCGCATTGACGTGAAGGGGGGGGGGGGCGGGCGGGGCGCGAGCAGCCGCGGCGGCAGACCTCGGGGAGACGAAGGACAAGTAGGGGAGAGGCGTGACAGGCGAATCGGCGACGAGGAGGGGAAGGTAGCAGCAGGAGCGGGGCTCGGGGGCGAAGGGCGAGGCGGGGGAGGACCGAACATCTGGGGTGACGGGCGCATGCCAGGCAAGTTGGAGAGAGAAGCGGGAAAGGAAATTGGACAGGCGGGGGGCAGGGGGGAAAGAGGGGAACGGGTAGGGGAAATCAAACAACAAGGAAACAATTGAGTAAAGGGCGGCCTCGAAGAACTCAGATCACGTGGAGCGGGAGAAATGGAACAATTCATCCTGACGGCGTCGGTCGAGCACGAACCGAGGCAATCGGGGTAGAGAGGGCTGGCCACTGATCCATCTGCAGCGCACGGAGTCGGCAACTCAATGCAAAAAGGACGGGTAATCGGCGAAGACAGCGTCACAAATCCCCTGGAGCTCTGTGGAGATGACGACGTGCCACCGGCACCAGCTCCCGTCTCAGGCGTCACCGTGGCAGGCGACAGTGAGCCAAAGACTGAAGACGGGACTTGCGTTCTAGCGCCATTCCATCCAGCCAGCGGCGACGGTGAGCCCGAACACGACAACGGGACTTGCGATCTAACGCCCCCGACAGCAAGGGTGCCGTCATTTCCTCCAGCACGTGGCGACGCCGAGCCCGAACACGACAACGGCACTTGCGATCTACCGCCAAGGGTGGGAGAACCACCGTGAAATCCTCCAGCAAATGGCGACGTCGACCCCGAGCGCGACAACGGGACTTGCGCTCTAACGCCACGGCGACCATCATTGGCCGTATTTCCTCCATCACGCGGCGACGGTGAGCCTGAAAAACATAACGGGACTTGCGATCTAACGCCATCGGCAGATGGGATGCCGTCATTTCTTCCAGCACGCGGCGACATTGAGCCCGAACTCAACATCGCGACTTGCGATCTGACGCCAATGCCGTCAGCATCGTCGTCATGAGGGTCCACATCGCGCGCCGCTGTCGAGCTCGGTGGTGAAGAGCATGCTGCAGTAGACGTCGATGGCGAAGGTGTGGGAGACGATGTAGCCAACTGCGTCGGGTACGGCGACAGAGCGGACAGAGGTCAGGTAGAGTCGCCAGCTCGGTGTCAGCGGTGGCATCCGAAAGATCCGACGAAGGCGACGATGAGACAGCTGGTGTGAGGCGTGGCGAGGACTGGCCAGAAGAGGACGAAGATGAGAAAGAAGAGGGGAGAGGGTAGTCCCTCCTACCCAACGCCAGCCTCTCGTCATCGTTGACACACGACGGCGCAGCAAACATCATAGCCCGAACACCCGCGAGGGCCACGGCATCAATCTGGCTGGGGATGAGCGGCCTCGATGGAATGAGCTTCGTCTCGTTGTACATGTAAGCAGCGGCCATCGAAGCAAAAGCGGACAGCTAAGGGGAACGGAAACCCCACCAAGCGGGAACGGGCGCGCGAGAGCACGACGGAATGCACGATTGAGCACAGGGCAGCGAGCGTGGTGCCGCAGGGGACCGATCTTTCCAATGCAGACGTAAGCGCAAACCCTCCTGCCGTGGCGCGAAATTATCCTGGAACTAGTCATCCATCCCATCACACCAAGTCCGAAACACAGCCCAAGCCCACGAGCAAGGGCAGCGACGAAGAATGGCGAGACACCGCGGCCAGTCGATGGTGGCGAACATGTGCCTTGAACGGTCAGCAAACTTGTGAAGCCTCAGCACAATCAGGTCAGTCAGAGGGGTCGCCTCCATGGCGAGCTGGCGACATGCAAGGTGAGCAGCACGCTGAGGTCGCGGGCGACGGTCCGCAGGTCCCTGAAGCGCTTCCAGTGCGGCAGCAAAGCACACGAGACAAGACAACCCAGATGACCAGGCCTTTGGTGCACTTCAGCAGCAATTTCCAGATTCTCGACAAACGCGGGAGCCTTCCAGACAAACGGGTACTGGCGCCCCGAGCCAAGCGTGCACAGCGTGCGCCAGTCGCCGTTCACCACGGAGTGAGCACGCAACTGCCGAAGCCATTCCGACCAGCGGGGGAAAGTGGACAGGGCCGCCCGCGTGATGGTGGCGACCGCCAAATGCCCCCAGCGGACGCACCGCGGGCCATTCCACCTCTCAAGCTGGACCCACGTGTCGAGAGAGAACGTGCCCAGGGGAATACGGAACACCAGCGCGCGCACCGCGAGCTCGGGCTGGAGCGTGTCCTGAATCGGCCAGCAAAACTGGGCCACGTATGATATGGTAGAGACCGCCCTTGTGTTGAACAGTATCGCGGAGAGGCTGGCAGGAGTGGTTCCCCGGCCAATGGCTTGA